TATATTTACATTCTGTATGCTTAGACCCATTGACAAAAATTACATTCATAAATGCATAACACAGGTGTTCATAGAATCTCAGCACGTGGGAACTGATAGTAACCTGATCACACTGCGTAGTAATACACTACAAAAACTACTCACTCGGAACGACCGACCTAGATGCTTAATTCTTACATCTTAAAATATTATTGAACTGTGCTTTGTGAAATATCCACGTATTCACGTGTCCTGTGCTACAAATAAACATTGAATATGGAACTACATTTTGTTGTGTTATTGTTGTTGACGGTTGCTAAGATCTCTCACGATAGTGTCACATTTCCCCGCGAAAAAACACTGTTCTCGCCACTGCGTTGCACCCGTGTATAAGCAGGAACAAACCCTGTTTATTTGTTTTATTCGTTGTTATATCGATCCACTGAAAGGATTCGTCAATGTAAATATAAGGAATGATATTTATTTTTTCAACATTTATGAGGTCATAACAACAATGGGTTTTTGGACATATTTTACATGAATCGCTAACGCGATTCATTCAATATGTCCATAAACCCATTGTTGTTATGACCTCATAAATGTTGAAAAAATAAAAATCATTCCTTAAAAAATACAAAATTTAACCTTGACCTTTGGTGTCAATTGACTCCTTGCTTAATTCTGATAATTTTTGCTTCATCATGTCATAACAAAATGTTCATCAGTGAAATTATGCAAAATTTGACCTTGACCTTTGAATCTAATGACATTGACCTTTGACCTCGACTTTTTACCTCAGTGTGTCTTTTTGTTTAATTCCGAACAACTTTGCTTCATAATGTCATAACAAAATGTTCATCAGTGAAAAGATGTAAAATTTGACCTTGACCTTTGAACATAATGACCTTGACCTTTGACCTTGAATTTTTACCTCAATGTGTATTTTTGTAAACTGAACATCTTGACCAAGTTTCATGTACATCGGTCAATAAATACCAAAGTTATCAGCCAGTAACATAATTTGTGGACGGACAGACAGACAGGCAGACAGAGTGATTACTATAGGGCCCCCGTATCTCCGATACGGGGCCCTAATAAGGGAATAACAGTTCTGTACACTGATATACAATCGTAATAAGGGAATAACAGTGCTGTACCCTGATATACAATCGTAATAAGGGAATAACAGTTCTGCACACTGTAGTCCTGTACCCTCACACCCAACAAATTATCAACTTTCATTTTCTTGTACAAATTAGTTCATATATTCATTGCTAAACAATGTTTAGTTTTTCAAGTGATAATTTCCTGAAAATCTATAATTGCATAATAATTATGTAGTGCATGTGAAACATATTCTAACCAGATGTTTTATTTAGGGTGTTCTGGTTCATACAATACTCTGTCACTAACCTGATCCTCTCAATGGCCAGGTGAAGTCTGTAGTACTCAGCGATATCAAACTCTCCTTGGGGCCCCATGCTCTTATCAAGCTCCCTGGAAGAAAACATAATATTAAAATGTATCTGCATTTTCGACAGTGACCTCAAATTACCAAAACTAAAACACACAATTCTGAAACAGGTACTTATCAGAGCTGTAAATGTTTGTATGGAATGTTTCTACAAAGAGTCATCAAGACATGTCTATCACTAAAGGCAGGAGATGAAGACAATGAAAAATCAATTGAAGATATAACCCTTTGTCGAAAATGTATAAAAACCTATGGCATGTGACAGGTAACTAAAATTTAGAGTACCCAATTTTATTACTTGAATTTAAGGACAAATCCCACAAATTTGGTATGCAATAAATTCACGCTTCAATATTTTGAGGAAGCAACTACGTACTTATATTTAGTGACCACTCTCATGTTCAGAGTGTAACCTGCATATTCCTTTAACATGCATCACATATTCCTGAATATCTCCTACTGGAGTGTGACTGCAGCAGTATTCTGATACACCACCAGTTAATCAGCTTTTATCAAACCCATTAATATTTTATACTACCGAGAAGATGATATTACTGGGGGTACTCAGAAATCAAATAGAAAAAGACGACAGAAAACTTCCAACACTTTCATGTACTGCAGGTGACAATATTGAAGCCGTGTCATTCTATCTTCAATCACATCTAGTATAATACGACTTATTGGGGAATATGTTATGTTCTATTTAGGATAGTAATATCTGCCTTCTTGGTTTAATAATATACACTGTTGAAGTGAACTTATGCTGAAGAAAACTGTAAACAACACAAGTTTTACTTTTGAAACTCTGGATCATGTTCCCGTAATTGTGTCTCGAGTTCCTCCAGAGTTTCCTCCTCAGCCGCGGAATCACTGTCCGCATTCTCAGGGTGCTGTCAAGGCAATTCAAACAGTCACTATAAATTGCCAATAATTACTAATAAATCATACTGCTTATAGAATGTAACATGTTGGCTGTCAGATACGGTCAGAGGTAAACTTATTCTAAACGAGCAACTACCCAGCATAAACTACATCTGATCAGATTTCAGCGACCACATGACCTTAGGTGTCCCCAATGACACAGTGTTTATCTATTATATGGAGTGTAGAATAATGGAATCAAACATGCTGATGACTTGTTCTTTTGTTTTTGTTTTTTAACCATAAACATATACTGATTTTAGTACTGTTTAGAAGCGTCGCTATTACAGGGTACCTACAATTTCCTTGTAAACCTCCCAGTCAGCATCGTTCTGGCCAAAGGTATCTTCCTTCTTCTTCTTCTTAGACCCACCTGTATAACAGGGTAGCCAACAAGTATATAGTATCATTAATGCATTGACAGAAAATACTGGGTATTATAAACTGTTATTATTTTTTCATTTTATTCCCGACAAGTGATTGGCCAGGAGTGCATCAGGTGTCCACCAATAAAAAACGATATTGACTTGGAGCACGTGATTTTTGGTGAAGAACTGGGTGTTTCTAAAAATAGAATTATGACGTGTCTCCAAACAGTGCACCATCCCACTTCCGAAGCTTTTTTGTTGTGGTTTTTTTTTCAGATTGCTTACATTACTGTTTTCTAAAATAATAAAACAATTGTAGCCTTTAACTTCGTTTAATACCTGGATTTATCGACCTTATCGACCCGAGAAAAGATATATTGACCAAGAACGCAGGTATCGACCACAGCCAAAGGCTATAATTGAATATTCTTGTTTGGTGTGTTTTACTCTTAAAAATGTTCAATTAGCTGGTAAAATACAATGAAAATAGTTATGATACTAACTTTGTTGTTCTACTATACTATACCAGAATGATTCTGAATGTTAAAGCATTATCAATATTTGGTGAAAATCCTGTTGTAGTAAATCGAACTATTGATGGTCAATAACACAACATTTATCAAACAGTTGGTAAAGTACAAGTCAGTCACTCAATCTTAAACATAGTTACTTTATCAACTTTTTTTACCTCCAGCAAGCTGTGTGATGATTTTCATCCTCTGTTGTGATGCCAGAGTTCGACGTTTAGCCATGTCAGATTTTCTCTGCTTTCTCTTTGTACGAGCACCTAGCAATTTCTGAATATACATGTATTTAATGAAAATTGATTTATAATGTGATAAATCCTCATTACTTTAGGTGTTTTTATAAACAAAAATAAAGAAAAGTTAAGGTACTATATTATAATATCACTTCCTTCTGACACACCTTCTTATGTTCTTCGTACATACCACCTCACCTGCCTGTATGGAACCTTCAATTTGACCACGACCTACCTCTCACTATTCCTTCTAATGTAATGGTACAATTAGGTAAAATTTTCATCATATTACTTCTATAACTATTACAGTATTTCCTAAAATCATAGCCTATTGAAGTGAAACTGCCAACTTGATGTCACTTCCTGTTGGTATTACCTGTCTCTTTGATCTCACTTCCTGTAGCCATCCATCAAAATTCATCAACCTTTTAATCTCCAACTTTTTGTCTTCCTCGATTTCCTGTGGATGTTAAGGCATCAATCAATCTTTTATGTCACCTTCATGAGAGGAATGATCAGTTACTATATCCAATTGTTAGAGGTTATCAGACATCTTTAATTAATATGAATGGATATGGTCAATTCGGTTACGCTCCGGATCAATAGGTAAAAAGAAAAGGATCAAGCCAATAAGTCTAAATGGCAGTTAAATAATTTCATCTGGACACCCTGGTACACAGGCCATATCTTACCTTGGACACCTGGAGTAGTGGACATGATCTCAACTGGACAACCTAGGGACGACCTGTTCTTAATGCATATCATTGACCTAGTTTACAGTAACCATGACTCTGACCATCAATGACCTTGTTGACAACTGTGACTCCATCAATGTACTAATAAGCAACTGTGACTATCAAATCAACTAGTTAGCAAATATTTCACCGTCTATGAATGAACTTGTAAGCACACCTGACTATCTATCAATCAATTAGTTAATCTACCATGACTCTATCAGTGTAAGCAAATGGGACTATTAATCAACTAGTTAGCAAATATTTCACCGTCTATAATTGAACTTACACACATGAGTATCTATCAATCAACTAGATAATCTCCAACAACTGAGATATTTAAATACCTTTTGACGTTTGGCTCTTTGAACAGCCTGTGCCTTCATTCTGCCCTCCCGGGCGTTCTTCAGCATCCTCTGGCGTTTCTTGATGGACAACTGATCAGGTGTCAACTGGTCATCAGGGATTTCCAAGAGTTCATACACAGGGACTTTACTCTGCTGCTGTAGTGATAGAGGTCAAGGTTATGTCCAAGAGTTCATACACAAGTATAATGATAGGGGTTAAGGTTACGACATTATAAAATGTTAATAATAAACTATCAAAGCACGACATTATAAAATGTTAATAATAAACTATCAAAGCTCTGGCAGATAACCAGAATACAGAGGACTAGTATCAACAATGGCGTTCCAAGAGTAAAATGCAGTTTGAGAATTTGTTTAATATGTTATGGTGCATATGGTCATGTTGGCAGTCTTTTACACATATACATTGCTATGATTATATATTTTTTTCATGTTCAGACATTTTAGTTTACCAGACATTATACAGAGTGTCCGGTTTGGGGCCCTGAGTTCACTCTATTTACAACATGTAGACCGCTCACAATAGCTATATATCATACAGTAAGGATAAAAGTTCTTAAATTTTTCCATTGAATAAATTTGATGATATTGTCATTACTCCCTTTAGATCATTTACGTAACACTTTACTTATATCCTTCCTCAGAATGAAGCCTTAAAATCTTTATCTATATAAATTGTCAACAATTACGACCACTGCAAAGGGGCACAACTCACACCGAAGTTTTAACTGCACCAGAATTAGAATTGTAGTTGTACTAACAACATTTGACAGGATTTTACAAAAAGAGAAGTCCTAACATGAGGCTCTTTACATGGAACCCTTACCTCTTCCTCTGGGGGTGGGTCAATCCCCAGAATCTTGGCCTTTGCCCTTTGTATATTTCCAGTTAGTTTATTGATTGCTATCTGCAGTTCCTCTGCGGAGTCAAACTCTGATCCCTGTAAGGCTCGCTTTGAAAACATTAATAATAATAAAGGATGTCATTATAAATCAAGGAATCCAAGCTTATGTTATAATCAGATTGAAACGTTAATACATAGGATATTAATATAGATGTATCAGTATTATATCTCCTAGAGGATCTAGTTAATTATAACGACAAAAGTTTTAAGTATTAAGGTATTTAATATAATTAATAACAGCTTTATACAGTAAAGTTTCTATGTTCTAAACTGAGATTCCTCTGTTTTGGTCACAGAAACACATGTCTTTATAAAGAAAAATGTAATAAACAGACGATTCTTAGTGTTTAGATTAATAACAGCTTCATGTCATTTGAGAGGCACCATGCTACACTCTCTCAAAAATATAGAAAGTTTTTTTACCCCACTCGTGAAATAAAACTGTAATCTGTTAAGAAATCAAGAATATTCTCTATATCTTAAGTAAAGACTGAAAAAGACAAAAAAAATAATCAACCATTTCAAAATCAACATACGTTAAATTCTTCATCATCCTCATCTTCCAATAATTCCTGCAGACTCATCAGCTCCTGTAGTTGTTCCTCATCATTTCTCAGCTGTCAAGACAACAGATTGTAAAACAAGACTGTACATAACCAGATTTACATATATATGTACACAGTTCTAGAATCTTCTAATCTAAATTTGAAGAACTTTACCATAGGTTTTGATTTTCAAGTACTGTTTTTTATAAAATAATATTAACATTAAGCAGCAGTGGAATGAGATATTTATTAAATAAGAAATTATGACAATACAGCCATGAACTTACGATTTCTGACATTTCCTCTCTAGGATTTCTTGGTTATGACTTCCTTAAATCTGTGCTGTGTCAATTTCTTACCTACCCTCTCTAGGATGATTTCTGACCTACCCTCCTCTCTAGGATGATTTTTTACCTACCCTCTCTAGGATGATTTCTGACCTACCCTCTTTAGGATGATTTCTGACCTCCCCTCCTCTCTAGGATGATTTCTGACCTACCCTTTCTAGGATGATTTTTTACCTACCCTCTCTAGGCTGATTTCTGACCTACCCTCTCTAGGATGATTTCTGACATTTCCTCTCTAGGATGATTTCTGACATTCCCTCTCTAGGATGATTTCTGACATTCCCTCTCAAGGATGATTTCTTGACCCTCTCTAGGATGATTTCTGACCTACCCTCTCTAGGATGGTTTCTGAAATTTCCTCTCTAGGATGATTTCTGACCTACCCTCTATAGGATGATTTCT